TTAGGAAACACCAGTACAGTCAGTACGAGGTGACGCTACATCATATCGAGCAGAATTCCGCGACAGTGGAACCAATGTAAGCCTGCATTTGCTTTACTCGTCCGCAATATTAATACCATTCGTACTCCTGCGCTGCAACTGTATGTGACTCCAATGTATCGACTCCGTCAATCTAATGAGCACATGTAGGTACTGTTTACCACTCGTTAGCATATCGAGAGTATGTCCAGAGTTACGCCCTTAATTAAAAGCGTCTTTACCATGTACCACCGGGCAGTTTGCCTTCATGTCGCATTGCCTTTGACTGTTCTACTTGCCGCCAGTGCAGACACCAGAGGACAGGAGAGGAGAGGAATGAGACGTCGCGAGCAGCGCTTGCGTTGACTGTACCCGAACACCAGAAGCAAGGCGGGATCCGAAAAGCTATTGTGTGAGTTTCTTTCTTGGTGATGGGCATCTGATTTTCGGTTGAGACGAACGCAACTTCTTCTGATCTCTCTTTCTCCCTACATGTACTAAAGTTAGGAGTAGTGTGTGATGGTACATGAATTGTAGAAGTAAAAGTCAAGCGTGTAAGCTCCACGAATTTGGCTTTGGACAAAGTAGAAGGCAACATAAGAGGACGTTTTCTGCGACTGTTCGCCGTGCTGCCGCAGGGGTGGGAGGGAGATTTTAGCACTTTCGCTTGCACAGTAGTTAGTAGTGGTTGCACTGTGTAATACATGACAATGTAGTTTCTATCGGTCTACTAACAGTGACAGACTGATCACTGGGCCTAAGGCTAAGAACTTGGCGGATATTGCCGGCAGAAAAGTTGGTAGAATGATATTTTCCTGGTGGGCTTCATGCTTACTCTTTTTTTGGATGAAGAAGATACAGTAGCAGACTTGGAACCGGAATTTCAAACCATACGGTAAAAAGGCAGTGAAGTTGGTCGAACCACACAGGCCCTTAAAAGGAATCTTTCACTTTTTTAAATAATTTAATTTGCTTTCGGCCAGTCGGCCACTATTCGTCTTGGGTAAACAAGGGGAAGTAACCATGCAGGGGCGTGAGCCCGCCTTTCGGCACGGGGAGTTGCAGCTGTCAATGTTTCAAACATTATCCACCAAGGCCTACCGACCACTACCAAGGCAAGAGGCACTGAGCCAATACTACTTCGATGTACATGTACTTGCATCTAACACCGGACCTCGGAGTGAGTTACAACTTACAGGATAAGAGAAAGACCACCTACAAATATAGACAGGGGTTTGGTAATGCCGAACCGAACTGCAACTCGGAATAAATGTGCCAAGACGACAAACGCAACTTGAAGCCCAAGGCAAGAGCGATTGTGAGCAGCTTAGAGATCCAAGACGTCGGCAGGAGGGAGGGGAGGGGAGGGGCGTTTAACACGTAGCACAGACTCAGTCTGTTGGTTCGATTCGCACCACAGCCTTGGCCTGCATGGTGATGCCAAGTCAGCATCATTTTGCGCCAGATCTCATGACCTTGTACTGAGGTGATACACACGCGCATAATTAATGTGCGAAAATCGGCTGATCCCATTGAACCGTCGCAATTAACATGATGACACATATCTTTCAGACACAAAATGACTATACTGTACATGTTGCTGGTTGAAGAAAGCGCTCAAGCTTCACCACAACACAATGCAGCGCGTAGCAGCCTCTTTCCTGTGAGGAAACGTGGTTATTATCCTGCTGTGTGTGTATTTGCCTCGCAACGACCTGACTGCGTGCGATTATTAATAGTACAGGGTACACGCCAGCCATTTGTGAGGCCATTTCCCCGCTATTACCGCTATCTGATCACCAGATATCCGGGAAAAGAGTGCAACTGCCTGTGCTTGTGGCCAAGAGCCCAGCTATGGCCTAGTGACGTCGCCATGATGTCATCATCACGTGATTTCTGGTCGATGACGTCACTGTGGCTGCGGCTGACCAATTATTTACTTTTGCTACTTATAAGTACTTACCGGCACGTACACACATGTACATGTACATATATGGCACAGGTTTAGTTGTGGTTCGAGCTGTGCAGATCTGATTATGTGCGTATTAGACGAGCCAGTGCGTTTGGTCTTCATGTACTGTGTGTCAGACGCTTCCTTGAACTTCCTGGTGAACTTCCTCCACAAGCATACGGCAATGTGTAAGATGTGCATGGTATGCTTGCCAAGCGTCGAGTAACAGTGCCAATGCCTACTGTACCGACAACATGCACAGTAAACTGAGTGAAGGTCACACATTCGCGTTACCATCTAATAATAATAATTAAAACAGGTCGCGTAATGAAGCAGCATAGCGATAGATGTGCAAAGTCATGATGCAGATGATGGCTGCAGATGGATGCGTTACCATCTGCTATACAATTATTGTGTTGAGAAACACAACCAGCACAGTGCGCTGGTTAAAAGCTGCTGACAGAGTCTGCATCAACCTGGACAATAGTACTTCGAGGTATGAAGTGGCAGTAACAGTAACCCAGTTTTGTCTTCATCTTACTCTCAATTGAAGCTCGTGGAGCTGCCAAGATATTTCAAATCTCGGCAAGAGCGTGATATCTATACGATGACACACTAGCACAGGTCCAGCCAACACCCGAGGGATCCATAAAATGCATCCGAGGATAGGCGGACCACTCAACGGGAGCAGGGCTACAGACTGATTGATATTGTTGATTATATTTTAAAACGTTTATTACGTGCATTGTATAAAACGTTTCGACGATTACCTTCTTCAGAATGACAATGAAGATATACAAAGATATTCAAAGTGTAAGCGTATGCGGCAGTGTTACTCGCACAACCAAGCACAAACAAGCAGTGAGTGACGGAGATGAGATAGTGTGACATGGTCATAACAGCAGCATGGGGCTGGAAACCCACTCTGCTTCGCGTGTGGTCGTCCCAACGTCCGCTGTCAATCATTAGGCAATACCTCAGGCCAGAGTGGATTAGAACGGGCTCGGCGGTCGCTCAGTACCCGGCCGTCCATCATGCCAGTGTCTTGTCTCCCGTCAGAATCGCGGTCGCAGCACATTTTCTCCCTGCTTCTTATGGCCCGACCAATATAAAACAATAATGGTGCTGCTAAGTTTCAAGTCAGGCCACATCTCCGTATCCTGGCAGCTAGAGTACTGCCTAGATGGAAAGGCACACCATACCAGCATGATGTCCAAGTCAGCAGCTGATCGATCCTGCTGCCTTCCCACCGAAACTGGATTTGGGCGCGAGCTTACCGAGCTTACCGTACCATTTTGAGGTCATGCGCATGCAGGATTCCCACGTCAGGATACGGAAAGCATGAGAATTATCGCTTCCCAGAGCATGTACCAGCAATGTGCATAGACGTAGATACAGGACCCATCCCGATGGGTTTGCAGGAATTGGCAATCCGTATTGTGTTGTAGGCTGTAAGGAATGCGTTGTAGCTAATTCCCACGCCCCGACGTCTACAGATGATCCCTACGAACAGTTAGTGTCCATTTGTCACCGTCTCAATCGTATGCACGCACACGAAGCCATAATTATGGACACACGTAAACGCATACCTGATACATACATACACGCGTTCAAATATCCGTCACATACACACGCACGCACACGTCTGGAACGCGCGCTCGCGCACACCACACGCACACACACACACACCACACACACACACACACACACACACACACACACACACACACACACACACACACACACACACACACACACACACAATTGTACAAGCACATGCATACATGTACTTCGCCACGAGGTCGCGGGAGATTCACAGCATGATCCAAACCCTTCATCACATCATATCACAGCCATGCAAATTCAGTCCGTCTAGCCGAGTTGGATGCATCGTTGACATCCTAGCTAGACGCAGCCAAAGCCCGTACATCGCCGGCTCATGGACTGGAGGATTCGAGGAGGGTCTGTCTGAACCTGTGCATAGGCGCAAATACTTGACTGCTACACTACAGCTGTCATGTACATGTACTCCCTCAAACATACATCAGCATGTACCCATTCCTCTACAGTGTGAAATCCAACCCCCTGAATAGAACAGACCCGCATTCACTGCAGAGACCAGTGTCCAGTGTGAGTGGCCCAGCCCACTGTCAGTCTGGTGCTTGCGTGAAGTCGGATTTTTCTTGCCATCACTATATGACAGAACATGACTCGTAGCCGTACACGCTCGTAGATTCTACGTCTGAGAACGATGGGATTGGGAGCCCTGGCACGACCAACCAGCACGGCGGCAGAGCAGGCATATTAGTGCTGTTGATGATACTGGGATGCAGGCTAGTGTACGTGTGCCACGGCTGCCGTATTGGCAGCGGATGCATGAACCGCAGAACGCTCTACTTCTGTCTTGCCAACGGGCCAGACCTTTTCTGGGTGGATCCTCCGCAACGCCACGTCCATGCCAGGTCACCCCAATGAGTGGTGCAGGTAAAGACGGTCATGTACATGTACATGTACATGGTGATGGCTATCACACACTATCACTACGGTCGGTGGGGATTACTCAATCTCGCAAGGTTATGTAGCTACAGGATGACTATTGGCATACTGCGGAGACCAGGGGCAGAGTAGGAGATCTGGTGTACAGTGTAGAGGGTGGTAGGTCGATCACGTGTGCAGTGCACATCGCTGCACTGGGGAGTGGGGAAACAGGAAAACTGGATAGAAGGACTGTCTGGTGTAGTGTAGACGAGGAGACACAGTGCGAGTGCAGCAGTATACAGTAGGAACATGAACGGTATGCATTGCAGTGGCATACTCAGTCACTGAACGGGTAGGCCTCTAGGTAACACACAGCATACCGCGTAGAGACCACCACTGAGCACTGAGCACTGAGCTGCTGTCTTGCTGTCGGCGGACAACTACTTTAGTAGTCGCTGCGAGGAATCTAGGATCGCCTTTGCGCGTTCTGCCTCCCGTCTTGTTGTGTGTACCGCCAGATCATGTGGTGCGACTGTCCCGCCGTGTGTTGACCAGTGCGCGCTTTGTCACGCTCTGGCACGCCAACCGACGAGGCAAGATCAGTTTGGCTAAGAGCGCTGGTGGAATTGCTGGAGACGGAGCGCAATGGACGCTTTCAGTTCGCAGTTCCCCCTGAGTGCGTGCGCGCAAGGGCAGTTGCACATAATGCAGGAGCGACGTAGACCCAGAGTGGCCTCTACATTATCAGCATCATCAGCTTCATCAGCCACGAGACCATTAGGACTGACAACAACACGAACTCCATCATCATCATCATTAGCAGCAGCAGCAGCAGCTGGAGAAGGTCTAGCGACAGGGATTGGTGGGCAGCGCAAACCGTTTGCTAGAGAAGAGACCAATCGAGTGAGAACCTCCAGTTGTAGTTCAGACACGTCTGCAGAGTGGATTAGATTTCGACGGTGTCGTTCAACAGCGGGAAGAATACGTGAAAGACGGCTAGCAAAGAGGAGGAGTGTGCAGTATTTGGATCTGTGGCAACACTGGAAACCCCAACATCCCTGTGGCACAGGTAAGACGCAGATATTGTGCAATTTCTGCATTTGTGTGCAATTTGGTTTTAGCGATAAGGCTTCTGTAATAAGATTTCGTTCCAACATTGCCAGATCTATTCTTGGTGGTCGGAATTCTGAAAATGAAACTAAAAGTCGATTACGCACTTAGCGCGCCTGGACGAGCGTACTGTGTAGGGAATGCTAGTGTGTTTGAAGTGCGTGGTTAGAAACGTCACCGGTACTCAGTAGCTGAAGTGAAGTACTGTTCCTGACCTCCATACTCTGCGCGCTCCTAATCCAACAGACTAATACTAGTAATAGTACTAGTTCTCAGTCACAGTCATATGCATGCATGTATGCATATGACTGCCAGTATGGACAGTATTGTGCAGTCGGTACATACTAGTGGTGCATATGGCAAGGCTTAGCGGATCTGGAGCTATGACTATGTATAGTATGAGTCTGACACAGGCATACTCCTACGGAGTCCTACCTAGTCCTAGCCATGATGACGTAACGTGGACACTGTATGGCGGTGCGCAGTGCGCAGTCGTACATGTACACTGTATAGTGTTGTTCCGGCCATGGACTTCGCCTGCTTGTATCGCGTGTACGATTCTCCGCCATCGCCACATTGCCAGTTTCACAAACATGATGCCAACCCACCTCAGCAGGTGCGCGCATGAACCCTGTTCGTCTCGTCCTGCAGTTTGTGGTTGCAAGGTTGGGTCCTTGCAGGGGAACTGTACACAGTACAGCGCCAGTGATGGGAAGTGTATCCCCTGGCCCTGCTGATAGTTCTGTTATGGTAGTAATCTGACTTCTGAGCGGATGGTGACTTGACATCGCTTTCATGTTATTGGGTTCTATGCCCGTTTGAATTTGCGAATCAAAATAAAATACAAACAACAACAACATTGGACTACGTGTATCCATAACACACAGACAGTCTATGTAGGGTGAGGCAAAGACGGAACTGTTCAGCGTGTAGTGTGTCCACTAATGCACCACCTCCTCTTCTAGCAGAGCCATACCTCACGACAAGGCCTGACGTGAGACGGATGGTTGGAGGGGTCTTGTGCGCAGGACTTTCAGTTTCGTTCCCGACAACTACACTTTGCGGTGCAGGTCTGAGCGTAAACGCTGCGACATTTCCATTCGGGACGGCCGCCAAGTTTTCATCGCTTATGGCTTGTGGAATTACACGTCCTAGTAGTGTCATGCAGACTGTGTTTGGGATCGCGATAAGTTTAGCTCAGTCACACGTCGGGCATTTTTTCTGTTCGTTTGAGGGTCACCGAAAGGCACCGATTGCAGAGTGGCCGATGACCCGCTCGCTACCACCGTGACTCAGTCAGTCACTGAGAGAGACACACGAGCTGCGGAGCACTACCACTGCCTCCTTGATCGAGTGCTTGTCTCTCCATGCCTGTCAGCATCTCAGGTATTTGCCATCTGAAGATACACGCAGCCAAGCGCTCTCACATGTAATTGTTGCGTGTACATACGCACAGGACAGATCGCTACATGTATACAGGATACAGTGTTACGGCGGTGCATGCTGGGATGACATGAGATAATAAGACAGACGCGATTTTATGCTAGATTGGCCAAACCTGCCAGGTCGCACGCGGTGAAAAGTGAGCACATGGCGGATTCCTACGTGTCCCTTTTGTTGCTTTTTCCGCCGGCACCGACTAGCTCGTGCTTGGGATGCTAACACAACAAGGGGGAGCTGACAGTTTCTTTCTCGCTCTAATCCTCGCACCAACTCCCTCTCTGGTGTCATAATTCGTAGGCGCAAAGATTCATGCTAACCACGCGACATTAGAAATGTGGCTGGCGGACGCGGAACGCCGCAAGGAAACTACAAATCTATGCGAGAACAACCGCTGGCTTTGCCAGACCGCACATGCACAGGCAGCCAGTGCAGGGCAGGGAGTGGTTCAGCGCAACGCGGCCTGGTGAACGACGGCGCTGAGCGTTTTCCCCTTGTAGACGTCACCATGCGTCCGTGTTGCCTGCAACGTAACGTCGTTGTAAACCTAGGGATAGTAGGGTCATGTGACTGAAGACATACGAGATTATTGCCAGCAAGATACAGTCAGTAGTGGTAAGACTGTGACCGTGGAACAGTGGACGCGCACGACCAGAGATAGAGCTAGAGTGCGGCTAGGATCGCATACGTATACGCGTGTTGTAAGCCAGACACGGAAATAGTTCAGAAGAAGTGTTACCTTTTTGCATCTGCTTCTACGGTTCAATCGTGCGTGCATTGGGTGCCAGTCACGAGACTGACGGAAAGCGCGAATACAGCGTCAAACGGCCCAGACGATTTTTCGCTTTCCTAGACGGACAACCAGCCAGACCTTCCCTGTGAAGTCTAGTAGGTGCGTCCCAGTTAGAGTGCGGTGTGGATCACCCCCAGACGTTGCGTATATCTACCTGGAACGTCTGTAGTCGCGTGAGTCTGATCGGGGACTTGTGGCAACACCAAATACGGTCTGTACGTAGTCCCACGCACTCGGCACGCGGCCTGCGGGACATCTGACACCCGTGTACGTGTACGTGTACGTGTACACTTTGTACACGGGTGTCATTACTGGAGATCTACATGACCTAGACCTTCCAGCGATCGACATCATTGTAGACCATAGAGCGAATGGCAGCACAGTCGGTGGTTAGCTCAGTTCACTCAGGACTTGCTGCAAGTAGAGAGAGATAGAGAGATAGAGAGCGATTCCAGTAGGTTTACTGGCAGCGAGCATGGTGCGCGTTGGTCGCGTCGTCTGCGGGCGCTAGGCTGTCGTTTACCGTGTGTCGCTGGGAAGCAGGTTCCGTTTGTGATCATGTAACGACGTCAGATCGCGTCGGTGACGCGAGCGCTACATCAAAGTTCAGGCGGGTGACGGCAGTACACTATTGTAGCGACCATCGGCCACATCATGACCTGGAAGAGCTGTATCCTAGTTCTCGCTCACTGACTTGCTCTTCGGTCCGCTAGTGCTTACGCAACACGGTTATTCTATTACCCTTCAGTATATCACGGTTCCGAGGCTGATCCCCAGCACACGCCACTAGAACCTTGTACGCCATTCGGCCTTTCTCTCCCACACGACAAGTACCTGTAGCTGAGACCGCCTGACTCATTCCGATCCGCACAGAGAGAAAGTCAGCTGTCATCGTTTTCACCGCCATCGGCTTTGGTCGGAGATAGCAGTATCTGCGCCGTGTGCACTGCAGATGAGTGGGTCAAGTAATAGTTTAGTTAGTTGGTGGACTTACTTACGCGGATACTGTATTACTAACGTGGTCATACATTGTATATAAACGTGTGCGTGCGTGCGTGCCTACATTCCATTCAGTGTGCACAGCGCTGATATTGTCAACCTGAAAATGAAACTGATATTGATAACGTCCTGATACGGGCAGCGTATTGCAAATGCCAGTTTGGTAAGGTTTCAAATGTTGGAAGGGTGAAACGAACTGCGTGCAAAACGTATACTGCTTCTGCTGACTCCTACCAGTACCTCAAAAACTACATGACACACACATGTACATGAGTGCGTCTATCTGCCCAGCAACGTTACTCGTATACACACCTCACTTTTATCATCGTCTTCCCCTCGAACCTTTCCGAGATGATCGAGCCCATTGTCACAGCGTACTCGGGGACTAGTCGCAGCGAGAGAAACCAGGATATGCAGCCTGGCCCGAGACATTACAAAACCCAAACCTCGGGGCGAGTAGAATCTTCTCAGCAAACATCAAGCTTCCGTTTCTAACTGTACCAAGTTCGCGTGGCTTCAAACTACCGAAATGTTCACACCACCCCGAAATACCACTTCCTCCTCCTTCTTCCTGAGACTGGGTCCAGGGTTTTCCCCGGAGAAACTCAGCCAGTCGATATGCACGTATCCTGGGCTCTGACAACAGGCGCTATTCCTGTGACGCATAGTCTGTTCAAAGCAACTAGCTAAGTTACTTTCAACACAGAGCCTACAATCAGTACAATCCGACATGGTCACGTGGGGATGTTTAAAAAAATTCAACATAAATTATTCAGTCTACATGCCATATGCTAAGTACATGTAGAATCTAACGTGTTTGTAATAGCTTGCACCGTGCTCGCGCAGATCCGGACGAACACCGTTGAACATGTTCAGGGTAGTGTCGCGGTGAGGAAAGAATCATCATGGCTTGAGGTGCAAGCACTTCATGGTGCGAGTAACTGTGTGGATTCGTCGACTCCTTCAGCATCCTCACGCCGTCATACAATCAGTCGCAACTCGCTCCCGCCTTGAAACGCACTTGTGACAACTTTTTAAGTACTGGTGCTCGCACAATACATGTGTGTAGTAATCTCTGTTCGCCAAGTCACCGCGGCTTAGGTCCGTCCCCTGATGGCCTGAATGCGAGGAACACAATGATCTCCACAACTGAACCTCTGATAATCTCGCAGTGATTAATTTGTGTGACCAGATGGGACAAGCGGTGTAATTCAGCGCCATCAAGTCATTATCTCCCTGGCAATTGTCAGACAGTGGATACAGCGGCAGCTGGGCTGACAATAATTATCCTATTTAATTATCGTATGGGCTCAAATGGGAAAACTCGCAAAAGGCCAGCAGGCCTGTTTCACGCTGTCATTGCGCTGTATCATGTAGTGTAACACAAAATTAAAAATTATAAAACAAGGTCCAGAAAAGGTGAAGGAAATGACCATATCATACATTACCGTGCGGGTTCAGTATAATTCCAGTCAAGCATGCAACGTTACATTCAGATATGCAATCAGGGACTGTTTCAATAGTCAACAGCGACCATAGTGTACAATGTACGCTGCTAAGCAGAATATTCTGCTAAATGCTGCTGAACAGTGCGAAGCGACATTTCGCAAATGCCTACCATGGTCCGGTTTTAGAGCGGCTCGGCTCACTCGACGTACTTACATACCACCGATCGTGGCAGTAGTCACACGGTGCGAACCTAGTGAACGCCACTCCAACGATTAGGTATCCAGGCGCTAGGCTCTCTGGCATTCGGCGGCGGGAGACGCCGTGATGAACTACAAGGCCCCTTTGCCTTTGGCAGCACAATACTGGCACGGCTCGGTACAGCACCGCAGAGCATTTGCCGACGCTACCTCAGCTATGTACATCAGTCTATTCTTGTCCTGTTGCTGAACCTGTGCCAGCACAATGCGTTGAAAGTAAAGCGTGGATCATGGCGGATGCTGAACACAGTCAGTGCGGAAACAGCGTGAACATGTGAACCTCCGCCTCTCATGCATGCATCGAACAATGATCATGTGCGCCTGAGCTTCGCTAACTGTCGTGCCGACATGTCGGCAATGGTCACGTGGCTGCAGCAGAATCTTCTGTCCGTAACTCGAGCGCGGTGTACTTCGACCTCTGTGACCTCTGCTAGCTACTCTCACGCGCATATCGTCAGTGCAGTGCAAATGGTCATTCGGAATGACCCCAGAAACAAGCACAGTATCCTGTATCTGTGTGTACGTGTACTACATGTAGTGTGCCGAGTGTGTTCACACTGTGGAGCCGGAGTAGACGCTCGTGTTACTCTATCGCGGGAAAACCTCACACAATTAAATGCAATGTAGACTTTCTGGCCTCGGCTAAAGCTGGTTACGGCATTGCGCATCAAAACGCGTGTACAAGTCCAAGCCTGTCCAGGAAGCAACCAATGGCCTGTGCCGCTCGGGACGCTCCGAACATGGCGGTGACCAATACTATTTGTAGCACTCGTGGTGCCCTTGCACAACTGGACAGTCACATAGACCATCAAGCAACAGCGGTCGCCTCCATCCGACAAACAAATCCCAATGAGAATGACAGGGTGCAACACAATGCTGGCCGTGATGGCAGCGACGGTTGGCATCCAGGTAGGGTGCGAGATTGGCTGGCAACAGCACACAGGTCAGTGACAACCACACCACGACGAGTGACGCTCAACTCCTCTCTTCGTTGTGCTCAGGCCGCCGCGCACCTACCAAGGACGACAGCAGTATGACTGCCAGCAACCTGTGAGCCGACAAGGTTAGGGCCGTCCCTAGCTACGCCACGGGGCGCCAAGGCACTGAGGTTCTTGTGCCCTGGCTCATCTCGAAGCTAATCCTCTTGTATCTATGTGCTGGGCCCTCGGTGGCTTTCGCTCCCGACCACACCGCCGTGGAGCTCATGGATTAATAATCTCCTAACCGGTCGAGGACATGCGCCGCGGGAATGTGGAAATGTCATTCCTGTCACCCCACAGATGCTCTCGCCATCCAAAATTAGGCTACGTTTGGAAAAGATGCATGGTACACACTCACAGGTACATGCCTGTGTGCATACCTCCGCTATTGTGCACCCACCAGGCATAAGTACAGCATTGCACAGGACACACATACAAGGGGAGGGCATCAGCAGCCTGTAGGCTGACAACAGTCAACAGTCTTCTGCTAGCGCAGGGGAAACGTCCATCTCACTTGCCAAGTGCATCCTGGAGGGAGAAGTCTGGAGCTAGGAGGAAGATGCGAACTGAGGAGGAGACCAGAAGCGAAAATATGACATTGTTTAGTGTTTGCTATAATAGGCTTTAGTTTAGGTGAAGTGTTAGATGTTGAAACCAGGTGACGAAATGAACACGTGTGATCATAGAAGGTGTAGTGATATGGAGCGCCTGTGCGGCCACTTCAGTGCGCCGAAAGGTTTGACGATGGACGCTGATAAGCACTACTGCTGGTGTCGAAACAGGCAGCGGCGGCCTTTCGACAAATGTCCACACAGAGGTGAGAGAAATGAGGAGAGAACTGGGTCTGTGGATGGGCAATATCTCACCGTGCATTCTGCTAGACATGCACGGGCAGTTTCAAAGAGTGAGAAACTCGCACCTACTGAACTGACTGTTGATTCCAATAGAAAAATGATCATCGAAGCAGTTTCGCCGTTATATCACCGTTCAATTATTTTATTACTGCTTTGAAGTATTACGTCGTCAAGTCTACCTGAAGCATTCCTGACAATAACCCTATCATTGAATGGAGTAGCTTCGCACCAAACGTATCCTCAGGGCGACTGGCGTGGTAGATTTATCCCCTTTCTCCTCGTACATGCCAACTTCTGTCTACCACTTTGACCAAGACTGGATTAGTTTAGTTGACCTCCCTTACTGGCCTTAGCTTCTCACACACACCACACACACACACACACACACACACACACACACACACACACACACACACACACACACACACACACACACACACACACACACACACACCCCTGGTCTGCGAATTCACTCTTTTCACACTTCACATCAGAGCGTTGGGCCGCGGCGGAGTCGATCTCATTTCTTGTAACACTAAGACGAGGAATAATCGTGCCACCTTGGGAACTTTTTCCGTTCCTTTTGATGGCGTTTCATGAACAACTAAACTCACTTTCCACGCCCGTGAAGGCAATGATTAGTGTCCAGCCAGCTAGGTGATGACACTTGCTACGCCTAATGTTACCCTCATGCAATGCTTTTCTACCCAGGCGGAAAAATGATTGTGCCTTGAGGCAACTCATTGGGGGTTTGGAATCTACTTGGTAGAAGATCTACGAGCTCGTTGAAGCCAAACTGAGTGCCTGGCAATAGGTAGTGACACGACAGAATGGGGAGAAAATTTTAAATGTTGCAATTTTCACGCCAACACGAATCTCGTGTGTATTGCATGTGCACGGGAAGCCGCTACTGGTGTTGTGCCGTTCCGTTGCTCGATCCGGTCTGCGCACTCTGCTGTGCATTGGGATACAAGAAGTGCGCTCTACCTAGGTCTACGGACGTGCGCATGAAGGAGCAACGTTGTAGCGTTGCTACGGACCCAGCGCCTCGACTAGAAAAAAACGAGATCGCTAACGTCGATGTTTACGTGTAGCGTTCACACGTGCACACGTCATCACGCCACTGCTGGCTGTCCTCTGCGGCCACGATTGTGAGAGACAGCGAGTGTGAAGGAGGAGAAAGCAAACGGGCTAGCAAGCTGGGCCTGCCAAGGCTTCAGCTACTGCACTTTTAGCAGATGGGGAAGGAGACTCGGCAAGTGTTTGCGCAGGCAAGACATCAGAATTGCATCTTCCTGAAAAATTCGAGGAGACCGAAATCCTATTCTTGCAGCTTCCTTGTCAGCTCGAAGGTTCCACCGAGGCAAAGCGCGCCGTTCTGTGCGTGTGTCATAGTTCACGCTGCTAGCGTCCCTGCAACGTCACGTAATGCGGTAAAAGTGCTGCACTTGTGCAGGAGAGTGAACGACAGGTTCTTGAGCACTTCACAGTTTCGATATCCTTGCGGGCGTGCTAGCCGAGAGGTGCAAGGTCACACCAACGTCCCGAGTCTTTTCTACGGAACGGAGCGGAGGTCTCTCGTCTACAACGCTGAACTGGTGCTGCGGCAGCGCGGCCACATCAAATCCTGCCCGCCAGCGCAATGTGAGAGGCCCGTGCCAGGGATTCAACTCAGCTCCAACAAGTCTTTGAAGTGAGCAGACCCTTCCATCTCTCTCCCTCTCCGCTTTCAATCAATCTCGAGATTGGCGCACGCGACTGCGTATTCTATAGCCTAGCTCTTGAATAGGCCCAGTGTATGCGTCTGGTTTGTAAAGGGCCCAAGTCTAGGCTAGAGGCTCATTCCTATGCTCTCAAATAGCCCTGCCCGTCTCACAAGTGTAATTTCCATTTATCAGTAAACAATTCGTAGGGTTTCAGCTTTAGTTGCACTTCTGCAAAGTCGAAACGTCGTAGGCTCCGAAATTGTAGTTTCCAGAGTGAAGTGAAAGCAAAGGCTGACCGATTGTGGAATATTTTGTTTTGTGCGTGTGCATCCTGTGTTCTTGCTGTCGCTGTCATCAGGTTCGAACGGTGAACTCCCAACGACCTTATCAGTATCCGCTGTAAACCAGCAGCAGCAGCGCCAGCAGCATTCGGTGCTAGGAAGTGCGTGCTGTAATAGGGATCTACGGTGTGAAGTGTCGTCGCATTATCCTCGACAGGCGGCCCCACAGCAGCACCACTATTCTGCCCATCTGAGCGGTGGTCAGCATCACCACCATCACCATCACTCCTCTACCACATTGCATCACATACACACGACGAGCAGTATGGCAACCAGCCTGTTCGTTGTCCTGGTAGCGTTGGCCAGTCTCTTCGTACATCGATGCAGTGGGTAAGTCATATTGTCATTAGAACATGAACCCACATGTAACTAACTATTAGCTGTGTGATTGGCGAGAATCTAGGCACTGGCCATTGGGGAAACCCTGGCAGGCACTCAACACAATGTACTTGCTGTGTTTGATGAGGTTACCTACTAGTACTCAGCAGTTATAGCATGGGGCTATCTGTCCTTTGATATGGACGCAAAACATGCTGGTGATAATCCACACTCGGAAGCTGTGTTGTAACATCAACCATTTCCTGAGCTGGGATACTGAATAATAATAAGAGTACTCATGCATTGTGATGGTGCTGGGAGTGGTAGTCTGAGGCAGTTGTGTGGGTGCATGCATGCCTGCCAGCATCACAGTCATGTCTCCCATTGTGTAGGAACTTCAATCTACATGATGATGAGGATGATGGTAGTTGTATGTATGAGTAACTGGCTGGGTTGTAACTTGTGAGAATCAGACTGAGTAAGCCGGGGAAAGAGGACAGGTGCAGCTATGGACAGTACGCACTATGGTCTGCTCCCAAAGAGCCTTGGTATGCACACTACACCAGTCTACAGTTCTACAGAAAGGGGCATGCTATTTTGGTTCTTGGATTTCAATGCCAGGAAAGTTGAAACAAACACAAAGGATGAAAGCGGAGATGTTTGGGCACAAAGCGGTCGGAGAGGCCAAAGTGCAGCAAGTGGAATGATTGCTAATGAGCATAGGCCCATTGGGACACACTGCAGATGGCTAGAACACCGGGTATTGGGTAGCTGTTGCAGGGACTCGGATGTTGCACAAACAGCTATGCATTCCAAAGAACTGTTGTAGTTGCATGGTCCTGGCCTTCTGGCCACTTGACCACTTATCCTTACAAGCAGAATCTCCTGACAGTAGTGACTGTGTCACCATCACCATGCAGCACACAGCTGTGCAGCGCCCATCTCTAGCACTGTGTCAGTGTGGAATAGAGTAAGGTTGTGATGGGACATGAACCAGTGGCAGTAGTCCACTGACCAGTTTCCCTACTACTCACATCAGGAATACCATGGCAAACCCGTGAATAAAAATACTCATGCGGCAATGGAGTTGCTGCACTGAACATTCCCAGGACCAATGTCTCCAATGGGCCAGAGTGACTCTGCTACTACCGTGTACTTGCAATGTCTGAATCATGGGACGTTACAACTGGCCGCTGACCAGTGTTACTTGCCATGATTTTCCCTATGGAGAGTAGAGAGGAATGCGGCTGCTATGCCCCCAGAGCATGTACATCAACATGTGGCGAGAATGAACAGACTTAGTGTGGCCCTGCTAATGAGCGACTGCTAATCTTAGACAGTGCGTGCAGCTGGTCACGTCCTAAATGAAATTACCAGCCAGTCATAACACCACAGAAGTTATGAAGGAAAGAGAGAAGATGCTGCATTCCAATTTCAGTGGCTGTATTGTGCATGCATACCCCATAGTAGCATGTCTAACAAGTACTACAATGGTGATGAAGTGAGTGATGTAGTGGGCTGCAGGTGCAGGGCATGCTGAGTGTGTGCCCTCTCCACAGCTGCATGGGGCGGCAGGGAATGGGATTATCCGCATGCAGAACTCATTGTGACACTCCGTGGGTGTGAGGGTGATGCATTGCGGTTCTGGACTGGTGATCACGGGGCTGGAATGCGGTAGCAGTGTCAGATGCTGACCATCCAGTTTTACAGACTCATCACACAGTCTGCCAGGGCTAGGGGCCAGGGCTAGGGGTCAGGGGATGCACAGCAGTTGAGCACCCTACATCTGTGGGCATGGTTGTAGAGCACTTTGTGTGATGACCATTGACACATAAACTGCGCTGAGGCTTCCTGTGCCACTAGAGAAGTTAGCTGGGGTCAGCCTCAAGAGCCCCCAGGGCTTTATGAGCCAGAGCTATTTGCTTGAGTCATGAGGCAGTGTAAGCATGCCATGCCCATATAGCAGAGGTGCCAGAATATGGCATAAGTGTATGGCTGCCATGCCAAACATGGTCATGCAACTTTTCCTGCTTGCTTTGCTGGCCTCAGAGTGGCCTTTCTCAGGGTGATGGTGGTGCATCAGCATGCAGCAGCAGCAGCCAGCTAATGATAGTTTCCCTCTGTCTGTCTGTATGAATGTGTGTTTGCAGTGTCGTGGTCTACGGAGCATACGAATGCAGAAGTACGCGGCCCACAGCAGCAGCAATACAGCAGAGCTCCGACGGGTCAGTGCGAGCGGAACAGGTGATTGATCATGTTGCCGGCTTCCAGACCGGCGGCCGACAGCCATCGCGAGTACCTATATCCAGTAGCACCACCACCGCGTCACCGCCATCATCCACGGCGGCCGGAAAGCCGCACGTCTATAGCAAAGGCGAGTTCACCAATGCGCGCTACAACCCGTTTCAGAGTCCGCGCACCACGCAGTGGCCGAACCACTACTTCCCGAACATGGACTGCTGGTTCAACTTCACCGCGCCGCACGGGCACCTCGTCTACGTGGAGTTCCCGACGGTTAGGATCGAGGGCGACTCCAGCATGTGCCATTGGGATCGCGACTTGTTGACTATTCCAACGCGATACACTGGCGACAAGCTGATCTGCGGCAGTCCAACGGACTACGGGGCATCCGTCACCGGCCTGCAGACGGTCAACATTCACTTCAAGTCAAATCACGTCATCGAGGCGGCCGGCTTCAGTGGCTACTTCTTTGCATATCCGGATAGGCGGCCAGCTGCGGCCGCCGGGAGAAGGCGCCGGCGGGCCGTGACCGACTCCATGATGCAGCGCCTGCGAAGGTGGATCGCAAACCCCTACATCCGAATGCTGCTCAAGGAGCAGCTCTTCGCTCGGGAGGACGACGACGACGTAGAGGTGAGCTCTCCTGCAACACGTGCACACACAGCAACAGGAGTACGCGCATACACACACAAACACACACGCGCGCATGCACACACACACATACACAGCAACATGCATACAGCAACAGCGCACACGCCCACACATGTGCACATGATTGAACGAGCTGGGGGAGGGGGGGGGGGGGGGTAGAATGATCATGGAGAAAAATATTGCGTGCCCGTCCCGATTACACTTTAAATCTGCTACTCAAGTATGTCTCGTACTATCACATGTAACATAAACTCTCACCAGGGAGGAACTACTTGAATTGTTGCACTAGCTTTATCAAACCTTTACGACTGTTTGATTGTCGATCTCAATAATTATGTGTAATGACTTGATTTATTAACTATAAGCCTCTTGTAATGAATGACTGTGTTCAACATGATGCATGCAGCAGTCATGCTGATTGGCGCTTCTGACCAAACTAACCATTGCATGTATCTCCGCTGCTGTCCTTGCTTTCTGTCCAGGCCATCATGGGAGAGTCCGACCTGGAGGTTGTGCAGAGACTGCGGCAAATGTCGCTCAACGGTCGCACGTCCGTCAGAGAGACTGGATGTCAGGACTGTAGGATAGCGCAGCTATTGGAGCCCTGCGAATGTGCCGGTATTGTATGTAAAGACAACCCGTCGGCGGAAGGCACGGAATGATCACATTTCAGCTTGATAGGACTGATTGCAAATTTATTCATCGCCAAAGAAAAGTCTATTATTCTCTATTGGATTATATCTTCTATTTGTCAAGTCCGTCGTCGAATTTTATCGTCTGTCCGAATATATTTTGACTCGACCTCCAATTTTTTGTTTGTTCGTCAAACCCCCTTGATGATTATATGGTATCAGTGATCTACTGTACTATTTGAGCTTGCCCGAGAAATATATGCTTGCCCAATTATACCGATAGGAATTAATATACAGGGTTGAGCTTATTTCTTTAAAAAATTATTATCCAGTATGTATGATTCCACCAAATTCTCTATATGCTTTTTTTCCCGCCGTTGCCTAGATTATTTCTCGTATTCTTTTCAACTCGACGATCTTGGGGACCTGTCCCCGAGCTCAAAAGACGACGCAATCTTGCGAGCTGAATATCTCCTTTCTCTTTGCCTTCCTTAGTTAGAATCCAGCTCTTGTAGTATTGGGTATGCAGTGATTAGTATAGTTTTTGCATTGCTTGACTTATTAAATTTATTATTACTGAGCCATGCATACTGGGACTGCTCTCCCCAAAAATATATCTCGTCCCACGTCTTATTTATAGTAAAACAGGGATTCCAACTATAGAAACTGAGACCAGTTGTAACACAAACTATCACTGATATGTGATTTGTGTGTGTGTGTGTGTGTGTGTGTGTGTGTGTGTGTGTGTGTGTGTGTGTGTGTGTGTGTGTGTGTGTGTGCGTATGTGAGGTGTGCGTGTGTGAGGTGTGTGAGATGTGCGTGTGTGAGGTGTGTGTGTGTGTGTGTGTGTGTGTGTGTGTGTGTGTGTGTGTGAGGTGTGCGTGTGTGTTTGTGTGTGTGTGCCAAAAAGTAGGGATTCACTGGACAGAAAAAGCCACTTCTTAGCTGTGTGGTGTAGACCAGGCTGAATAGTGGCGGACAATTCTTCAGCCTTGCAAGTTGTTGAATGGTGCAATCCCAGCACAAGCTGCTATGGCTTCTGCTGTAGCATCGCTATCATCACCTTCGGCGATGGGCGTCCAATGGTCCAATAGTGTGCCAGCTAGTTTGGTTGGTGGGTTCGCTTATGCCAGATAGTGTTGGGTCTGTTGCCAACGTTAACTCAAGATCCACTCTGATTTAGCCACCCACACCAGTAGCAAGTAATACCTTTACTCGGGGCAGGGGGTAACTGCAGTTGGATCCTGATACCCCGATGCCGTCAATCCTTTTTCTGCACCTTGTCCTCACCCACTTGTAAGGTGTCACGGGTGAGCCCATAAGTTGGATCAGTTCCAGGTCCACCCATAGTTTGGGGATTTCAGGGGGCGTCAGCTGCTAGGGGGCAATTGAGTCATCTTTCCAAGATTCCTTTTGAGTCTCTCTCCCCTCTCCTGGGGAGACATACATGTATGTGACCAGTTTTGGCAGCGAGCAAGTGTGTGTGTGGTACACGATGTGTGTGTGTGTGTGTGTGTGTGTGTGTGTGTGTGTGTGTGTGTGTGTGTGTGTGTGTGTGTGTGTGTGTGTTGCCAAGGCCTCCCGTGCTTTTGGCGCTCTCCAAAAGCCAATCTTCGGGTGTAGCGGCCTATCCATCAAGTCTAAGCGTCTTGTCTACAAGGCCATTGTCATCCCTACCCTCTTCTATGGAGTAGAGACTTGGCCCATGAAGGCCCGACAGATGAATCGCCTGAATCTGTTTCATCGCTCATGCGTCCGTTCCATCTTGGGAGTCTCAAGGAGCGATCAGCACTCCCGTCATCTTACCACTGCTGATCTAGCTCAGAGAGCGCATCTTCCTGAAGACATTGGCACTCTCCTACGTGAGTACCGTCTGCGTTGGCTGGGTCATGTTGCCCGTATGGACGTGGCCCGTATTTTACTTAACAAGTGTTGTTTGGGGAGCTCGAGGCAACCAGACCACGGCATGGGCCAAAGAAGCGTTGGCGAGACACGATTGTCGGTGATCTGCGCTCACTGGATATTCCGGAGTCAGAGTGGTATCGGCTCGCGCAAGATCGCCCGGAATGGCGCAGGCGGGTCCATCAACATCGTCTTCCTCCCCCGGCACCGAAGGACTTTCGCTGCCCATGCGGCAGAGCGCTAAGGAGAAGTGGCGATTTGAAGCGTCACATCAAGTACTGCCCAACTCAGTAGCCTATCATCTCCACTGGAGATGGGGCGTCAAAGGTCAAGGTGTGTGTGTGTGCCCCAGACATCCCGTGCCCCAACTACCGCTGTGACAGAGTGTTCCGTCGTCCTGGTGACCTTAAGCGGCATGCGCCATACTGCAGATTTGGTATTTAGAGCCTCAGCGTGAGGACGCCATCGCTATCATTGCTACGGCAATGGGCGTTAAGGTTCAAGGTGTGTGTGTGTGTGTGTGTGTGTGTGTGCGCGCGCGCGCGATACGGCCTAGACCTGAAGACTGCATCGGATCCTCCCAATGAAATTGGACATGCAGGGCCCTGGGCTGCATGGGGAAAGAACCAGCCCTGTAGCCGTACCGCTCCTCAGGAGCTGGTTCAGGGCCTGTACAACTGTAGCTGACTAATTTCGGACGACTCCCCGGTTCTGACCTGCCCTGGAAAAACAGTTAGGGAACTTCTGGACATGTTTGTGCACCGGGAGGGGGAGAGCCCAAGGTACATGTACAATGTGAGTAGGTAAGGAGTGTAACAGGACGTGTGTGCCCATAACTGGCTTACACCCACTCACCTAAGCCTAAGGCTAAGGTCCTTGGACTAGTACCGGTTACTGGTACCAGTGACTATTAAATTCAATTAGATCCGGAAAAATACAGTGGCAATCAGCCGATCACAGTGCAGGGGGGGGGGGCTTATTGCGAGAGTGCCTATTGAGTTACCTATGTACATGTACATGTATATACAAGTGTGCATGCTTCTAGCTGCCTGAGCATACCTCCCTCACGCCAGAGGAATTTGGTCCTCAAAACCCGGAGTCCATGCATGTTCTAGATACATTAGTGATAAGTCAGAAGTAGTCACACATAATCAGTTTGTGTATTCCGCTCAGTAGGCTGTAGCATGCCGCCCTAATCAAGGGGATGATAATGAGTGAAAGGAGGGCATGTCAAGCATTCTACACCCGGAACAGGGTTACAGCCTGAAATACAGGGGCAGTGCCAACATGCCACAATAAGAGCCTGAGGACAGCACAAAGGTGTGCGGGATCATGTGACTTTTAAGGCCAATCTCATGCAGTTATCTGGTTATTATTAGCGAGTTCAAGGCACAGAAAGGTACTGCGATAGCTGCTGTGTCCTGATGTAGTGATGCGGCGAACTAAAGATGTTGTGTTGAAAGGCAAGGGAAACGAGTCCAGACTTCCTTTTGCTACTGAACTAAAGGCGTCTGGCCAAAAATGTTGAGACAATCCCGGAGAGGCAGTGCTCTATTGTTCGGAGTACTTAGCAGCGAGTTGGAGAGGGGAAGAGCGAGACCAGTTGCTGGTGCCAATACCTAGTCCATTTGTGTGCCCACACTCACACCAGGTGGTCCAGCACTAAACAGTCAAAACTACTTCGAAGTAATACTTACTTTCCTTACACAGAAAGACACCATACCGCATGCTGAGACACCACACACACACACACGCACGCACACACACACGCGTGTAAGTTAGCTAGACAAAGCAGTGCGCTGGCACTAATAGCAACAGCAGTCCATTGTCTGACGGCCACCTGTGGATTCGTCCAACGGCACTGACACACAACAATCCATTACTTGGCATTAGGCTTGTGTATTCACAAGGGGCTGTTTTCACTTTTTCTCAGGCTTTCTTCTTATCAGTACCAACCATTTCTCGATATGCACCGATCAGTGGTTGATAATCGAAAGATTGGCTTGTACATGTACTTGTACATGCTGGCAACATGACTCAATCCATGTGGACCTGTGCAGTGTATACATGTACTTTAAGGTATCTCACTCACGGTGATCAGAACTAATACTTGGCCTGGACCCGGCGGCTGGGGTCAAGATGATTCTTTCAGTTTTCTCAAGTCGCACCGTGAGACCTTGTGCATGCTTTGGCCCGAAGCCAAGTGACCTCGTGGCCAGCATCCAGCAGCATCCTCATTCTTTATCGCTTTATCGCTGGTCTTGCCTGCAACATGTCCGACTTGGCAGAATGACGCTCTGAGGCAATATCCTCGGCTGAACCGGGCCAAACATTTAAGCTTTTTAGGTAAGAATCATCCTGAAAGGTGAATGAGTGTGACTCAGTCAGAGAAGAGCACACTACAGTGACTGCACTGCATCATTACCAGTCGGAATGGTTACTGGCCATATTCAGTGACGGTCAGGTACGGTCTGAGTCACTGGTGTCGGACTCACTGACCCTCACTGACCCTCACTGACCCTCACTGACATGACATGAAGATTCCAGAGCAAAGAAGTGAAGAGAGCTGCGAAACACAGTGGATGACAGGGGCGTAGGAAGCAGATTAATATTGGTGCGGCGAAATTGTGAGAGGGGGGTCCGGGGTCCTCCCCGGGAATTTTTTTTTGAAAATTGGGCCTTAGGCTGTACTCACACTACTTGAAAGTTTGACGCGAATGTCGCGTTCAAATCTAGACAAAAGTACTTGAAAAAGCCTTTCCAAGCACACTGCACTCCAGTGACGACTTGAAGCATTTTTGTCAGCAAATTACCATGGAGAAACATGATTGTCATGTGGTAGTTTTGCAAATCCCGAGGCTGCGTTCCTTCAATTTTTTAGCGCTCGATCAACTTATTTGAAATTTTCAGTTCATGAGAAAAATAGAAACAGTTATATCTTGCTTGGATCGTGGAGTTCATTCGCCATGCCTCGCGAAGAAGTAGCACATCGTCGACGTCGACGGATGAAGAGGTTTCTCTCCACAGCTCGATGAGCTTCTTCTCCAAGTCGTCAGAAAACACTACGCGAGGCATGATGTTGGTACAAAAGCAATGGTACAAAAGAAATGCGACAGAAACGGCAATCAAAACAACGGGAAGCTACTGGAAGAAAGAAGACGGAAAATACTCGGAAAAAAACACCACAGAATTCAGAAATGACAGGCAAAAAAGGAAACTACAAGTATATGTACAGGAGCAGTACGACCACGAGGAAACAAAGCATGAAAAATATTCTGAAGCCTTTCAACGTACAATAGTACTCCGGCCTCCTGACCTCACACAGCTTTCCAAACGGCTTGAAAGCAAAAAACCTCGTAGAAGAGGGTTCCGTTTCCGCTGAAACCTTTCAAGCGGCTTTCAAGGGCTTTTTTCATTTTCGCAACCGTCACCGTGGCAACATTCACACGGAAGTCACTTGTATGCGGTTTTTCAAGTAGTGTGAGTACAGCCTAAAAGGCCATATTTTAATGCTACAGAATGATATGAGAAATAAGAATATGCATGCTGATGATACACCGCATTGTCGATGTAAAACAT